TACAGGGTCTACAGGGCCTCACCACACAGAAATGACTCTTAGTGATCCTCCTGCTTCCAGCCTCCCAAATCCCTCCTGCTGGGATTTCAGGCACATGCCACCACAGCCAGTCTCAACTTCCTCTGAGCCCTCTCGGAGGGCTGGGCCGGCACAGCATACAGGGCTCAGTCCCTGCAGCGCTTTAAACCGCTGAGCTATCTGGCCGGCCTACTAGAAAACAGAGACTAATCTGTGGTGAACATGGCCAGTAATAATTGCCAGGAGAGGGTGAGGAAAGCCAAGAAACTTCTTCTATCTTGACAGTTTCACACATGCATTCAAATGTCAATGCTCATCCAATCATATCTTTTATGTAAACACTAAAACATAAACATGCAAATATACACTTACTGGTGGAAAGACACTAACTACTAGCATGATCTGGGGATTCTGACTCCTCCAGTGGCCAAGGCCATGACATGCCCGAAGCCTGGCTGTGGTCCATGTGGAATTCACCCAGAGGATGGACTATGATAAAGGTTATGCTCACTTGCTTGGCCTCCTGGGTGGAACACTGAGGTGACAGCTGCCTTGGGATGTGCAGCCCAAAGGCAGTGAAGCAGGCAGAACTTGTCCACTATACTGTCCTGTGCTGAAATACACCCTCAACCAAGGGACTTGTCACAACGCTAAAATAAGCAAATCCTTAGTCACAGAAGGGCCAATTTAAATCAAGGAACATTTTGCTTATTTTGGGAAGACCGACTTCTGTTGATTAATCACTGTGTAAATATTTATGTACAAGACCTAAGAACAGCAGACACCAGGGCAAATCCTGAGGTGTGCAAAGTGTCCAGAATTACAACCGGTCGCTGGTGGGAGGTGCAGTGCCTCAGTTAACACCTGCACCTGGCACCTCAGACTCGCTCCTGCCGGAACAGGTAGACTTGGGGCACTGTCATGAACAGGGCTTAGGTTAGTTTACGTCCAGCTCACCTCCCATTAAAACTAAGTGCTAACTACGCAGCAGTAAGGACTTGTTTCTACTACAAGTGAAAAGATCAGTTACTAACTAAATAGAAGAGCAAATCTTTTTTGTAAGGCAATCTAGGCTTCCAAAAATGAAGGCATTTTCAGAACCATATAAACCCAGATAAAACCAAAATGGTTTGTATTTATAGTGTTAAGAGTTTATACACAGAAAATTCCAGAACAAGACTGCTGTTCAGGTCACTGAAGATCAAGGCATGGCCTAGTATCTCATCTAATCCTACAGTTAGTGACTAGTATCTCATCTAATCCTACAGTGACTAAACCCAGGGCCCCTAAACATGGCCAAATCAGAACCCTAAGGACAAACAGACAATCTTTCAAAATTGGATGTGAAGCTTCCTCCCAGATCTGTGGTCCTCAGGGTAAGAGCCCCACATAGGCCCTTCTCCCAAGCCCCAGCACAGGTCAGCGCTCTGGGAGTGTACAGTCCTCTCTTGCTTGCCAGAGGGCTCACTCTTAATTCTTTTGATCCCAAATGTAAATGAGTCCCCCTTTGCCCACTCCAAACACCAAGAGAAATGGGGTAAAGAGATTCCCAATGACCTGACTTGTGCTCATAAAGCTAGTGGCCATTCTTCCCTGCACCTCTGTCCTGCCTCAGAATACACCAAGCCAGGAGGCCCAAGGAAGTGACTATGGAAAATGTCCCACTAAGCTGGAAGCCACTGACCTATGAAACACTGTGCTGTACATACAGGCCATATGGAAACCACTTTCCACTCAATTTTGCTGTGAATCAAAAACTGCTCTAAAAAGCTATACAGTCTATAAAAATTAAAAAAAAAAAAAAGGTTTAAATGGAGACACAATGGGAGAAAGGCTGGACGCACAAGCTGTGACAATGAATTCCACGGTAGGCATCTTACTGAAGGGCAGTAACATAGAGCAAGACTACTTTTCCAAACACAGTGCAAGGGGCCGAGGCCTCTGCTGTCCTTTACCCTGGGGCCACTGGCAGCAGAAACATTTGCCTGGACCCTGTGACCTGAGCCTTACACCGGAATGTCCACAGAAGGAGGCGCAGGTAACACTGACTAGGGTTAGCAGACTGGGCTGGGAAGACCAGGGAAGATGGAGGCTGGGCCGGGGAAAAGAAGGGCAGTGCAGGAGGTGGCAGAGCAAGCCAGGCGAGATTGGGCTACAGAAGAGGAGGCAAAGGAAGAAGGCGGCTGGGGAAGGGAAGGCCAGGCCAAGAACAGGGAAGCCACAGGAGACTGAGCCATGGAAAGGGAATGCTGGGCTGGGGAAGAGGCGTGAGGAGACCAGGTCCCGGAAGGAGAGCACAGGGAAAGCAGAGGTTGGCCACCAGAAGGAAAAGCCAGGAAGGAAACGGCCCGGCCAGAGGCGGTAAGGTCGTGGAAGGGGAGGCCGGGCTGGAGAAGGGAAGGCTGGCGACTAGCCCCGGGAGGCAGAAACCAGGAAAGAAAAAGCTGGCCTCAGGGAAAAAAGCTGGGAAGGAAGGAACCTGGCCAGGGGTGGGAGAAGGGGAGCCCACGAGAAGCCGGGCCCGCGGTTCACCGCCTGCCGCCCCCGCTCCGGCCGGCCTGCGACAGGCAGCGGTACGAGCCAATGAGCTCCCGGGGTGCCGCGGCATGGCCAATGCGCGGCGGCGGCGGGGGCGGGGCCTCCGCGCAAGCTGCCGCCCGCGCCCACCTGAAGAAGAGGGTCCGGTACATCTGGTGAGCCTCGTAGTAATCGCCCTTCTCGACGCTGGCGCGCAGCTTGCCCTCAACACGCTGGACGCCACCCCGGTTGCGGGCGCCATTGCGCGCACCCTCCTGCTCCGCCATCGCCGCCGCCGCCGCCGCCGCCGCCGCCATGGGCCGGCGCTCCGCGCAGGGCTGACGCTGTAGCAGGCGCGGTCGGCGGCGCTTCCCGGCTTCCGTCCCAGCGGCCTCTGGACGCCCTCTACGGTGGCCGCGAGGAGCTCCGCACACGGGGAGGGCGGTGGTGGTGAGTGACACGTGATCAGAGGCGGGGCCGCATAGCCTGCGGGCGGCCGCGTGAGTGGGTGGGACAGTATCCTCTGGGCGGAGCCTCCGAGTAGTCGCAAGGTTGGAGGCGGGTCCACAATGAGGCGGGCACGTGGCTTCGGGGCGTGGAGACAGTAGTGCGTGCAGCCGGGAAGGCGGGTGGATTCAGCTACACAGCGGTATGGCGGCTCCCCTGGGCATGGAGATTTAAACATTTCGGTAAGTGTTGTGATAACGTTTCTAGCACGTTCGAGCTGCCTGCAGCTCTTCCTGAGCCTTTTGGCGGGCTCCCTGGGCCTTTGTTCGGGGATGAGGACATCCCCGCCCTCTCCCATCAGCCCCGCGACCCCTAGGTGACTGGGCTGGAACTGTGTGGTGCCAAGTGCTGTAGAACCAGAGTGGGGTTTAAGAGCAGCGCTGCAGGAACCTGTGCGGAGCTACCTATGATACAACTCCTTTCATACCAAGGATGAAATACAATAGTTTTCCTAAATTCTGTTAATGTGGGAGATTGCGTAATGTGGCTCTGCATCAACCAGCAGCCTGACGCCACTACCCAAGGGTTACTTGAGCACCAGCTTGTGATCAAAAGTCCAGCTGCAGTGTGATCATTATGTATAGCTACAATGTATCATATATTGTATTAATACAATATGATACAATAATTATTGTATTAATATATTAATACATTATTGTATTAACGTATTAACTTTTCCCATAATTTTATTGAGAAATAGTTTCAAATCAAATTGGTAGGACAATTCCAATAATTAACACATTGTGTACTGTCTTCCTAGTGGTTAATAAACTTAACTTTCAAAGTCCATCTAGCAGATTAAAGTGCCTGTTTAGGCAGACACAGCCTGCATTCGCTCCTATGATCCCCTCGCATGCATGCAGGTACCTGTGCTGGCCTTGCTCCATCTAGCAGATTAAAGTGCCTGTTTAGGCAGACACAGCCTGCATTCGCTCCTATGATCCCCTCGCATGCATGCAGGTACCTGTGCTGGCCTTGCTCCCTGGATGCACTGAGACTCCATTGAGACGGCATGGTGGCATGCACCTGTAGGTAATCCCAATGTTTGGGAGGCTGAAAACAGGAAGATCACTACCTGTCTACGTAGTGAGACCCTGTAGACCCTGTACTAAATACAAACATTTTTTAAAAAGTCCATCTGAGGCCAGACTTCATGGGACCGTGACATTTGCATTGGGTGGGATGGACAATCAGGGAGCCTCACCCCAGAATACAGTACAGCTTGAGTTATGAATTCTTTCTGGAGTTCTGTTTAACACTGGCCACGACTGTAGGTAACTGAAACAGAAAAACGAACTAGTATTGCTTAGAAAATAAATGGTAAAACCTGTGTTTGAACCCAATTGTATCATCAGTATACCCTCACATACAGTGGGAACCAAAGCCATTTTAAGTTCTTCATTGTGCTGGGCGTGGTGGTGCATGCCTGTGATCTCAGCATTTGGGAGGAGGCAGAGGTTCAAGGCCACCCTGGGCTACAAAGTGAATTGGAGGCCTGCGAAACCGGCTCAAAAAGAAAAAAAGGTTTTAACTGAGATGAGACCACATTTCCAAGGATGTAAGATACCACACTGGGGTAAATGCACTACTTTTTTTTAAAAGCTTATACCCCAAGGGCAGTTCTCAAGGCAGCTTGCCAGTGAACCAGCACGCGCATCTACCTGAACGATGGGAGACCCAGCTCCTCTTCCCAGCTGTCTCACTGAACACTTCGTTGTCTTTTGCAGTGCTGGGTATGGAACCCAGGCTCACGGATCACTGTGTGTCACCACCAGCTGTGTGGGGCACAGTCGCATTCACCCATTGTTCTTTTTACAAGCATATTCACTAACCAGGAGGACGTGTCCAGGAACCCATGGCTGCTAATCTTAGCAGGGCCAGTGACCCCTGCCTCAGAGCATGCAGAGTACTGGTCCTTCACCATGCTCAGTGGATAGACACAGAAAAAACCGAAAAAAGAAATATACTGTTTTTTATTCATTTGAAATATCACATGCATTTTTAAAAATTAAAACTCTTTATTTAAACATCTCAATAGCATTTATCAATTTGGTGGCAGCAAACAAAACACTATCAAAGACAAATATTTTGAAAAGCATTTACAAAAATACATTGCACAAAGTCCTATGTTGCATCTTTAAAAATAAATATTCAAAATATCTCCACCCAACCTCTGAATTTAGTTTTATATAGGAAATTTTGATGTATATATGTAACTTATAGTGTATGAAACGTCTGTACACATCCTATCTGACCTGACTGCACAGGGCTCAGTCCCAGTCCAAAGAGGAGCAGGAGCACTGCCACATGTGGCAGAGGTATTTGGGACTATATGCAACACACACAAAACTCCCTAGAAACCAGTAAGCACCACTGTGATCTTTATCTAAAAGTACAGCAGTGATGGAATGCCAAGTGTCTTGACCAATGGGGCTTAAATAATTATTTAGGTAGAACCGTTAACACTTTTAAGTGCCTTGTAGCTATCTCAATTATAGTCTGCTCACAAAGTAGTCTAAATATTAAATATTATAAACAAGTCTCACAAGATTCAAGTGAGAATGCTGGCGGCAGCGATGGAAGGCAGACCCCGAGAGCCGCACAAAGTGCTGCTGTAGGGAAAATGGCTCCCTGGCGACTGTGGAGCAGAAGCAGCCGCAGGGGTCGGCACCTTAGTGTTGCCAGTTAGCAGGAACAGAATACCCTGGGGGGACACCAAAAGGCTAGGTGTCCTGGATCCCGCCCACAGTGTGCCCTCACAGCCATGTTTAGTGCTCGGGATTGACTGACCCCCAGCGGAGGCCCCCACCCCCATCCCCCGCCTGCCTCCCTCTGAGGAGTCAGCACAGTGAACCCTAACTCTACTCAAATCAGGCCCAGGATGCACCTCAGCCCTCCCATCTGGACACTGGGGACCTGGAGATAAACCAAGGGAAGGGGTTCCAACAGAAAACTAGGTGGCAGTTTTCCCTGAAAGAAATGTGTATGGCCCTAACAGATGAAATAGGTCTATCCTCCCAAGGTCCTGTTAGAACCAGTGAAAGACCCCCACATCAGAGCTTCAACACATCAAACTTCTCAACTCCATCTGCTGTGCTGCAGATGTCAAGAAATACAAATATAAAGAGCTTTACATTCAAAAACAAATCAACTATCTCAGAAGCATACATTCAAATAAACTTCCAGAGACCCCGATGCCGACTCTATGTAGATGCAGCTTCAAGGATGTCAGTCAATGTGCCAGGCTGCCACACCACATTTATTGAAGGGCTGATGCATCCCTCTGTTCTACACATACCCTCATCCTTGAAGGGTTCCAGTGTTCTGGGATGCTGGTATATACAAACTGTACAAACTAGGGAGTGCCTCTCTACTGGGCAGGCTGGCCATGGACTCGGAACCGGTAAAGACAGGTGTATTCAGGGTGTCCCCAGTTGGACAGGATCCGAAGCTCCACTATCTGGAAAGCTTTGTCAGGTATTTCCTGAAATTGATAGGGAAGCACATTTATTTTAGATCAACAGACTGAAGTTCATTCACTCCCCCTAGTGGATGTTTGAAAGGAAGCAGCCACACTGGAAATAAATTTTGAACAGGTTCAGGATAGGAAGCCCAGCTGAGACCCTGAGAACATCTGACTAGCCCTACTCGGTACCTGTACAGCTCCCAGAGAAAGGGCCTACCCACAGCTCCTCTACACAGCCTGTTTCACTGACACACAATCAGGGTAGGTTGGGTCCTTACCAGAGCCTGGAACATCTGCAGTGACTCCCCTTCCTGGTTGTATGTGAACTGTCCCAGGGGCTGCCCTTCTTCTTGATACTCATTTTCTAATCCCTGAAACCAAGGCCACATAGTCAACAGAAAATAAAAAGTAGCCACCAGGCCTGTTTCTTTGCCCTAAGCAAGGGGATCCCTCCTCCATGTGGGATGGAAGGCAGGCGGGACAGACTCACAGGCAGCCAGGTGTAGTTGCATCCAGGGCAGACCATATTCACTCATGCCCTCTTTATTTTTTTTATTCAATACAGGATCTACAGGGTCTCATTACATAGATGGGACTCGTAGTGATCCGCCTGTGTTCAGCCTCCCAAGAGCTGGGGTTACAGGCGTACACCACCATGGCCAGTCTCAATTACTTGGGAACACCCCTAGGCCTGAAGGACATAAGCTGGACAAGGGACAGAAGAGGGCTGAGAACTAGTGATTCAGGGGTATGAAGCTTGCTGGGGATGATGAGCAAGTTCTGGAGACAAGTGTGGGTGAGGTTGGCAGAAGTGTGATGGCACCTAAGACCACTGAGAACAAATGGTTAAGATGAGAAACTTCACATTACTTCACTTGCAATAAAGTGCACACAAATAAAGGGGACAACTCTAATGTTTGCTTTCTGATGGGTAAGGGCTTCTGGGTTTAAAAAGTGCTGTGAGGGCCAGCCAGATAGCTCAGCAGACTGAAGCACCTGCTTAGGCAGAACACAGCCGCTGGGGTTTGATCCGTGCCAGCCCTGCCCCTGGGGTGCGCTGAGATGATGATTGAGACTGGCCATGGTTGTGTGCCCCTATAATCCCAGCTCTTGGGAGGCTAAACATAGGCGAATCACTGAGTCTGATCAGTGTAGTGAGACCCTGTACTAAATACAGAAAACAAAGGGGTGGGGGGCTGTAGAGGAAATCCTAGGCCATGAAGAGAGAGACCACTGAACACAGCTCCTCCAAGGGGAGGGCACAAATCCCAGGGAGGAGATGTGAAACAGGCAGACCGGGGAGATACTCAGTAGAATAAGCACTTGCCTGGCAAGCGCAAGGGCCTGAGTTCAATCTCCAGTTCCACCAAAAAAAAAAAAAAAAAATTTGCGCAGGGGCCAGGGGCGCAATCCCTAGACCTGCCATGCCAGCCCTGCCCCCGGGATGTGCTGAGATGGTAACTGAGACTAGGTGTGGTGGTGCACGCCTGTAATCCCAGCTCTTGGGAAGCTGTAAACAGGTGGATCACTACGAGTCTGATCTAGTAGTGAGACCCTGAACACCTTGCAGACCCTTCCCCAAAATACCAAAAAAAAAAA